TAATTATGTATCTGGAGGAGTGGTAGCACATTGCCTTTGTAAATAGATAGTAAGGCGTTGTAAATTTCAGTATTTGGGGTCTTAAAAGTTCATGGTCAGCTTTTGTGCTATCGTGTCACTAGGTGGAGATGTAGCATTGTTTGGTAGACTAGCCAAAGCAAAAGAGCTGGTTCTTGATTCTCTCTCTCTCTCTCTCTCTCTCTCTCTCTCTCTCTCTGATGAGGTTTATTATGTCTTAGGGAAAAATTTGCAAATTTAGTATAGTTTAAAATTTAACTTTTTTCAGAGTAAAAATTTAACCCCACTTGAATATCTGTTTTCATACTTCTAACTCTTTTAAAATTATTTTCTGCCCTTACTGCTTTTTTCTTTTTGTTTTCTGTTTTTATTATATCTTGTCAGGATTAGTCTGATGTCTCTATCTTGGGTGCTTAATTCTAAAAGCTTAGTAAGATGTGAATTTATTTTCTGCTAGACATTATATATTTTGCTGAAGACTGCGTTGATTGGTTCTGTAGACTTGCTGAAATCAGCAAAACAAAAATTCTAATAGTTAATTTTACACACATGAAAAAAATTGAGTTCTATGAACCTATAGATTCTAAAAATTAATGAACCGAAGTAAAAGCATGCTTTGCAAGAATGAATAGTTTAAAATAGAGGAGTAAAACATAAATACACTTTTCTCTAACAAGTTCTTAGAGAATTCCTAGAGGCTTTCAAAATGCTATTCAATAATTCTATGAAAAAGTTCTACATTTTCATCAGGCTTTTCAATTATAGTCTCTCATTTACATGTTAGCAAAAACTCTTACAACTGCTTGTCATTATTCTCAGCACTTTTTAAAAATTTATTACAATTTATTCACTATATCCCAGCTATAGCTCCCTTCCTCAACCCCTCCCAATCCTGCCCTCCCTCCTTCTTCTCCCATGCCTCTTCCCCAATCCACTGATAGTGGAGGTTCTCCTCCACTTCCATCTGACTCTGGGCTATCAGGTCTCATCAGGACTGTCTGCATTGTTTTCCTCTGTGGCCTGGTAAGTCTGCCACCATTTCAGGGGGAGGTGATAAAAGAGCCAGCCACTGAGGTCATGTCAGAGACAGCCCCTATTCCCCTTACTATGGCACCCACTTGGACACTGAGTTGCCATGGGCTACATCTGTACAGGGGTTCTAGTTTATTTCCATGCATGGTCCTTGGTTGGAGTATCAGCCTCAGAAAAGATCCCTGTCAGCACAGTTTTTTTTGGATCTGTTGCTCTCCTTGTGGAACTCCTGTCCCCTACAGGTCTTTCTATCTCCCTCTTCTTAAGATTCCCTGCATTCTGCCCAAAGTTTTGCTATGAGTCTCAGCATCTGCTATAATACCCTGCTGGGTAGAGTCTTTCAGAGTCCCTCTGTGGTAGGCTTCTGTTCCCTGTTTACTTCCTCTTCCAATATCTATCCCATTTGCCTTTCTGAATGAGGATTTAGCATCTTACCCAGAGTCCTCCTTCTTGCTTAGCGCCTTTTGGTGTACAGATTTTAGTATGAATATCCCATATTATATAACTGATATTCACTTATAAGTGAGTATATACCATGTGTGTCTTTCTGCTTCTGGGATACCTCACTAAGAATGAGCTTTTTTAGTTCCCACCATTTGCCTGCAAATTTCATGATTTCTTTTTTTTTTTAATTGCTGAATAGTGTTCCATTGTGTAAATATACCACAATTTCTGTATCCATTCCTCAACTGAGGGACATCTAGGCTGTTTCCAGATTTTGCCTATTACTAATAAAGCTGCTACAAACATGCCTGAGCCAATGTCCTTGTTGTATACTTGAGCATCTTTTGGGTATATGCCTAGGAATGATATACCTGGATCTTGAGGTAGCACTATACCTAATTTTCTGAGAAAGCACCAGATTGATTTCCAAAGTGGTTGTACAAGTTTACATTCCCACCAGCAATGGAGGATGGTTCCCCTTTCTCCACAACCTCTCCAGCATGTGTTGTCACTTGAATTTTTTATCTTAGCCATTCTGATGGGTGTAAAGTGAAATCTCAGGGTTGTTTTGATTTGCATTTCACTGATGACTAAACATTTGAGCATTTCTTTAAGTGTTTCTCTAAAGATGTGAATTTGTAATGTGTGGACAAATAATATGAGAAAATTATAATATAAAATTCTGATTTGGTAGTAACACAAGTTAAATAAACTTAAGAGTCTAAACATACCCTGTTCTTACTTTTGTATTAGGGCAGTAATGTCAAACTTTAACATTTAAATTCTGTAGAGCTTATTTCTCTCTCTTCCTTTCCTTCTTTCCATCTCTCATCTCTTGAATCTTAAGTGCATTCTCTATGCACAATGCTGATTCTTCTCCATGAAGCTAGTATGGAGGTGAGAACATGGCAGATGTACCCCTGAGAGATCTTGAAGTAATTTGAATATCTTACTTTTGGAAATTTTAAAGGTGAAACTGAGAAGTTTTTTTCTGATAAATACTCCAGCAGTTCTCAAGTGTTTATATGGAGTTACCATATAGTTTAACATTTTCCTATTCCTAGGAAGTGAGAAACAAAAGCATGTTCACTCAAAAGCTTAAACATAAATATTCATAGCAGCATTATTTGTAATAACTAAACAGTGGAAACAACTCAAATGTCTATTAGCTGATAAGTGGATGAAGAAATGTGGTATATTTATACTGTGGCTATTACTTAAAATTGCTTGTACTTCTGAAGCTTAAATATATAGAATGGACTACTGGTTCATGATATAGCCTAGATGACCCTTGACCCTTGAAAATCTCTCATAGTTTCTTTTTCTTGCTACAATAAAATGCCCTGACAAAAACAACTTAGGAGAGAAAGGACTTATTTGGCTCTAAATTTCAGGTTACATTCTATTATGGCACAGAATTTATAGTGGAAGGAGCTTGATAGAATTGGTCACGTTACATCCACAATCAGCGTCACAGAATAATGGATCACTGAATGCTAGTGTTTAGCTTGCTTTCTTCGCTCTTAGTTTAGAATCCCCTTCCTAGGGAATGGTGCGTCTCAGATGGGGCAGGTCTCCCCACCTCAGGTAATATAATCAAAATAATTCCCCTCAAACATGCCTTTAGACCAGTGTCCCTCTCTGAGACTCCTTTTCCAGGTGACACTAGGTTATGTTGAGTTGACAGAACTAATCATCACAAACACTGTACTGAGGGAAAGAAACAAGTCATAAGACCACGTGTTACAGGATTCGATTTATTTAACATGTGGAGAATGATAAATCAGGTGAAGTCGAGGGTGTTCATCAAGAGCTGACCAGAGAGGAATGACTGCTAATAGTATGGGATTTCTTTTGTAGTGATAAAAACATTAATTGTGATAAGGGGTACACAACTTGCAAGGAATACTAAGTACCATGGAACTGCATGTTCACTATAAATGAGTGAATTGTATGAGAATTGTGTGTCAGTTACCAAAAGGCTCAGGATATCAAGTTAAGGAATAACAATTGGCCACCTAAATAGGCGCTAGACTAAGTTCTGTGTAATATTATAAAGCAAATGTAAGTCACAGATCTTCTCCTCAGATTTATTTTTATTTTTATTATTAGTTACATTTTATTAACTCTGTATCCCAGCTGTATCCGGCTCCCTCATTCCTTCCCAATCCCACCATCCCTCCCTTATCTCCTCCCTATTCCTTTCCAAGTCCACTGATAGAGGAGGACCTCCTCCCCTTCCATCTGACCCTGTTTCATCAGGTATCTTCAGCACTGGCTGCAAAGTCCTCCTCTGTGGCCTAGCAGGGCTGCTCCTCCCTCAGCGGGAGGGGGGTGTCAAAGAGCCTGCCATTGAGTTCATGTCAGAAATAGTCCCTGTTCCCCTTCTCAGATTTGTTTTTGTCATTCTTTTTCTTTTTAAAAATGGTTTACAGTTCAAGAGAAAAGTTAATAAGTATGTCACGAGGCACTTTTACTTTCTTAATTTCTTCCTCACCTTTTATAAACTTTCTACGGTTGTCTTCTAACTGTTCTTGTAATGGCCTGATTTTCTTACCTGATACCCATTTTCCTCCACTGAAAAGCAAACTCTTGCACCTTGGACTTTTTTGTCAGCCCTAAGCTGTTATCCTTTACCAGCTTAAAGCACATTTTAAAGACAGTGGGTGGTTCTAATAATTTAAATTCTGTATCTCATGAAAACCTGTTTATTAAAGTTTTTATTGATGTTTCCATTGCTAACAACTGGAAAAATCATGACTGTTGGCAGTTTTTAAATATTTATGTGTATGAGTGTTTTGCCTCCATGTATGCATGTGTACATGTATACATATACATGCCTGGTGCCTGCGGAGGCCATAGAAGTTATCAGATCCCCTGGAACTTGAGTTATGGGTGGCTATGAGCCACCATGTGGGTGCCGGGAATTGAACCTGGGCTCTCCACAAGAGCAAAAAGTACTCTAAATTATTGAGCCATCACCTCATGTCTGACTGTTGTAACTTATTTAAATTACAGAAATTGGCTGGGCATAGTGGTGCATGCCTGTAATGCCAGCACTCATGTAGTCAGAGGCAGGCAGGTCTCTGTAAGTTCAAGGCTCCCCTGGTCTCCAAAGGGAGTCCAGGACACCTAAGGCAACACAGAAAAACCCTGTATCAAAGAAACAAAACAAAAACAAATATAGAAAGTATTGTTTTGCTACAGTTTAATCAGATTCTGTGGTGTTTAGAAGTACAGTCATGAAAAATATCTTTTAGCATTATTTAAAAATTAAACCTAGCTTTATTGTTGATAGTCTATGATTCTGATATGGCTGTGGTTGTTAAAACTTAGAAAAAAGAAATGTTTTAGTCATAGTAATGTTTTTGAAACCAAAAGGCTGTTTTAACAGATGGTAATTGATTCATTTAATTTCACTGTAGACAAATTATTTGTTTCTGTGTATACATCCACCTGCTTATATCTGTCATTAATGCAACAATTAAATTTTTCTTTCTTAACAGATGCATATGAAACAGCCAAGATGCTCTGTGAACAGTATTACCTGGTAGCTCCAGAGCTAGAAGTGGAAGAATTCAATGGTAAAAGACAAAGCATTTTAGATGATATCAGGCTGGATCAGGGTGGTATGGCTCTAGTCAGAGACACAAAGGTGACTTAAATGTTGATTATATCAAAGCTGCCTTTCTAAGAAATCATAAAATGGTGCTGCCTTTTCATTTTTATGTCCTTTCAAAATGGCTCCTATACACTTAGTCAGCAGGGTATATTATTATAAGTCGCTTCTGAATAGGAATGTGCAGTGTATCCTGTGTTCAGTAGCCCTTACCATTCCTTTTGGGGGTTAATCTTGGGCTGCCATTTTTCTTTTATATATATATTTTTTCTGCTTAGCCTCTAGTTTCTACTTTTTATTCTTACAGGAAGGCTATCTGAAAGTAAAATTTCGTATGTCTGTATAGAATTCTGTTGACATTTATCAAGTGGTGCTTCAACTAATGGTTTTTTGGGTGATGACTGTGTAAAATAGACTTTATTATTTTGTCTTAAGCATAAAAAACCCAGACCAATCTTTTTCGCTGACTTTTAAAAATGTACTATTAGAGGGAATATTCATATTCCGTTTATCTTATTTTAGAAAGCCAACAAACCTCTATTAATCATCCACTATAGCCACCAGGACCAGGATAAAGGAAGAATCATAGCCAAAAACATTTTACATGTTTTTAAAAGGAAGAAAAGAAATGTCAACTGTAATATTCCCAAAGAAAAGTACACATAATTGAGCAAGCCTTAGATGACTTCTAAAGAATGTTGTTTAAACTTAAAAGAAGAAAACAAACTGTAAAATGTTTTTCATTTCCTTCAGATTTGGGCTGAAAAGGTTGAATTGAATTCTGAGGCTGTTTATATAACTAATGATGATGTTTGCCACAAGATAAACTAAGTACTCAGCTTGCTTCTCAGGCCCCATTACAACCACAATAAAAGAAACCCATAAAGACAGCAAAGGAAGCCAAGCAGGCTTATAAGTGGACCACTGGATTAGTCCCTTCAGGCTGCTAAGCAAAACCATCAGAGACTGGGTAGATTAAATAACAGACATTTGTTTCTCATGGGCCTAGAAACTTGGAAGTAGAAGAACACAGTGCTAACAGATTTGGTGTCTGGTGAGGGCCCATTTTCTGACTTACAGGTGACTTCTTCTTGTGCCTTTACATGTAGTAAGGGGCTGAAGAGCTCTCTGGGGTCTCTTCCCTAAGAGCACTAATCCCATTCATGAGCCTCCACTCTCATAAACTAATGAACTCCCAAAGGCCCTTTTCCAAGTGTCGTCACTTTAGGAATTAAATTTTGACGTTATGAATTGAGAGGAGCACAGACACTGAGTCTGTGGCAACCCACTAGTGTCAACTTGTGGAAAAATACAGCCAGATAAAAGGAGTATGCTGAGTAATAGAACAGGGCAGGATGAACCAGAAAGGAGTAGGCTGTGGCAAAGATGGCAACCATTTTTCCAGTTATCCAGGAGGGGGAACTGTAGGAGCAGAATTGAGTGATGAAACAACTAGAACAGGAAGGAAACAAAAGGATTAGGATCAGTTAGCTGAAAACTGATCTAAGAGAAGCCTAGAGAGATGACATTTTTAATAAGCTTCAAGCATCATAACTAGGTAGATATTTATCTATATATTTTTCTCTTTTTCTTTCCTCTGTCCTCTTTTCTCTCCTATCTAGTGTTAAAGAGAAAAGGGGGAAGGAGAGATAAAAAAGGGGGTATAGCAATAATAGGATAAAAGGGAAGAGAGAGAAGAAGGTCACCAGGAGGAGTTATCATGGGGGCAAGGATGGAGCAGAGGCAGTCAGGGCAAGACTAGAGGATAATGGGAGCTAGCAGAGTCGAGTTTGAATGGATTGGTATCTGCCCAGTTATGCTTGAAGCTTATAATAAATGTAACAGGTCTCCATCTCATTATGTGGGAACTAGAGCAGGCATAGAGATAACCTTTAATGCCAACACTTTCTCATTTTAGCATTTGAAGGCCTCTTTGGTCATATCTACCTTTCTAAGGGCTTATTCTAAAACCAGTGGAATATTGATCAGATTTTTAAAACTCCCAAGTCAGCCTTCTCCTATGGGCAGTTTCCAAAGGGAAAGGAACACTAGGTACTTCAAATGATGTGCTCAGTTCTAAACTGAATTCCTAAACTAAATCATAACCACAGTATGTCTGATTTTTGGCAAAAACCAGTAATATCAACAGTACCTAACTGGCATTGAATTTCTCTGCTGTACTCTTACTGTCAGAATATGCCTTTCTTTACCAAATTCTAAGAATGAGTTAAACTTCACATTCTATATCCAGCCAAACTGAGACAGGGTTACCACATAGGAAGGGGATGGGGAGAGAGAAGGATAAAAGTAAGTAGGAAATAAAATACTTCCTCCAGCAAGTTTAAGCTTCACCTCTTAAAGATTCCATTACCTCCCTAAGTCGCATCAGCAGTGGGGGACCAAGAATCCAAATACATGAGCTTTGGGGGGTTGTTTCTCATGCAAGCCACCAGACTGTATATGATGATGAGCAGTTGGAAGAATATAGACAGAATCTATTTCACTGTAAGGCTGGAAGTATTTCCTCCAAGTAACACATGAGTCGTGTCATTGGCTTCACAGGGAAGGAAATAGCACTTTTGTGGCTGTTCTGTAGTGATTGGTACTTACATAGAGTATTGCCAACATTACTGATTTTTAACTTTCTTAACAGAGCCTACAGAGACCAGATAAAATAGTTAATATGGGTTACAGAACAGAGTGTAACTAAATAATATTCTAATGACTTACCATCAAAGGGCTTGGGGCCTGGAAGCATAGCCCCCTTGGTAGAGTACTTATCTAAGATACATGAGGCCCTATTGACAACCCCCCCCCCCACTCTGCCGCCACTTTTTAGTTTGGCTTCATTGTTACAGATGTGAGCCTGAGCCACAATACAGAGTAGCTGTGAGTGTAGCTCACTACAAAACCATAAACTAGTTAAAACATTTAGGATCTCTGTGTGTGTGTGTGTGTGTGTGTGTGTGTGTGTGTGTGTGTGTGTGCGCGCGCGCGCGCGCGCGCGCGCGCACACACACGCATGCGCATGATTGGACATGGCTGTAGGGCCCATGGCAGGAAATAGCATTATGGCAGAGAGTATATGATGGGTTACAGTGGCTTACCTCATAGAAGCCAGGAAGCAAGAGAGGGAGGAGGAAATTAGAGTGCGACCAGGGTTGATTTTGGATGCATGCCTTCAGTGACCTGTCTTCTTCCCACTAGGTTTCACCTACTGAAGGTTCCACCATGCCTTTAATGTTTGGCCTTTGGTGATACATGAGTTGCAAACCAACAGCACTGTGTGTCGAGTTTCAGCATCACTTCTGTTACCATGCTCATATCATCTTTTCCAAAGCCTATTTGCTCAACTGTAACTGATACCACCTACTCTATGACTGCTACATATTATCATAAAGATACAATGGTGAATAGAGAAGCTCATAATAATGAGAATTATTAGAATTATTATTGCTTAGATTATTAGCTCTGATTTATATTACTCTTAGTTACTTTACTAGAGGAAATGCTAAGTTATAAGGTATACCTATTCTGTTTGAGAAAGTTAATGTTTCAGTGTCTCACCTGATAGCAGGTCCTGAGGAGGAAGAAGGACTTGATGCTAAGCATCTCACCCACATACTGTTCTTAGTGCTTTGCATGAAATCCAGTTTCTTGGATTTGCCTCAGAAGATCCCCGGTTCAAGGAGATTACTAAAGATACTCAAGGGTCTCATTGTAGTAGAAAATTATGTGAACCTTATAGTCTAGTCTACACTCTGTCCTGTTTATCATAATATAACAGTATTTGTAGTTAAGTTACTTTTGTCTCTGTAATAATGGAAAATGAATCAAGAAAGATTGATTTAGGCTCACAATTTGAAAGGTTTCAATCCATGTCTTTTGATTCCATTGCTTTGGGCCTGAGATGAGGCAAACTCTCGTAGCAACAGGAGAATGTGGCACATGAAGCTGTTTCCCTCACAGCAGCCAGGAAAGAGCAAAGAAGGGGCAGAGACATGATACTTTCTTCAAGGACATGCTCTAGGAACCTACTTCCAATCAGGCCCCACCTTGTAGTTTCTACCATCTCCCAATAATGTCATTAAATTATGAATCTATCAGTAGATTAAGCATTCATTGTATCAGAGTCCTTTTGATACATTTATTCAGTTCCCTGAAGCCTATCCTCTGGCAGCTAGTTAAGCCTTTAATGTGAGCATTTCAAGTAAAGAGTTCAGATTCAAACCATCGTAATACTATTAAGTCCACTTTACCACACCTTCTCATTTGGCTCATATTCTCAAAAATGACTTCTGGGGTTCATGGCAGATCTGTCCTCCAGATTTGAAAATTTCCAAATGATGTTTGTATGTCTTTGTGTGATACTCAGAATACTGAAGGTCACAAAGGTGCAGTAAAGGAAGTGGAGTTAGATACTGCATATCTGCTTGATTCTGAAGCATGTGGTTTTGCTCAGTTATGTCACTCAATGTCAGAATCTGTATTATTAGTCTTTTGTGGAAGTTTGTTTGATCTCCTTGGAAAATAGAATACAAGCATCATTTTTTTACTTTCTTTTACTTTGGGTCCTTATTCATTGGTGGTTTTGTCTCTGTTTTCAGCCAAAGCACCAAACAAACCTATTCAGGTAGTTTATGTGCCGTCACATCTGTTTCACATGCTATTTGAGTTGTTCAAGGTAAGTGGAATTTTAAAACGTGAAGAAGTCTTCATTTTAAATGGCTTTGATTCCGGGCATAATGGATTCATTAGATTAGCATAAGAAAAAGATTTTGCATAACCATTTTAAAAACTCTTTCTGATACCCTGTGGGCTTTATAATCTGTACACTGTGAGATGAAAAATTGCTGTGTACAATATAGTTTTGTGAATATTAGTACATATTGATTTTGAAACTTAATTATACTTTGGCAACTTCACATCAAATCCATACTGTTTTTCTTTCAGTTAGTAGTTAGAGAAGCTTTTTAGATTTTCAAACCTGGCAAAAGTTGTATTGGTGATTACTAGACCAAAATAAAAACATGTTTCTGTATATCTGTGATTTTGGAGCATTAACTGTGCTAATGCATTAGTCGTTCCAGTCCTGAGAGATGCTGTAACTGTTTTATCTTTTGAATCATTCAGAAGACCTAATAGATGCAGAAGAGGAAAAGTGTGGAGCCTGGGCTAAAAAGGAAAGACTGTAAAATCCTTTTCAGACTCTCTATGGCCTAAGCTGTTGCTTTTGTTACCCAGTAGCCAGTGATATTTACCGTAGCGGTATTATGAGTACAGGGTATTTGAGCTAACATGTCATCAATTTTAATGTACAAACACTAAATTGAACACCTAATGATCCAGTTGTGCTGGTTTCTTCCCAAGAACAAGAATGCTACTGGTATAACAATAGGGTGGGCATTCAGTTGTGAACTTTCGCTTCATCTAGTGTGACCGATGACAGGATTTTTTTTTTTAATTTACTTAGTAGTGTATGTATGAGATTGTGTATGTGGATTATTGCTTTACAGCTTGTTTTTATGTTTTGTTTATATATTTTATGTATATGAGTGCTCTAACTGCATGTATACCTGCATGCCAGAAGTGAGTATCAGATCACATTATAGATGGTTGTGAGCCACCATGTGGTTGCCAGGAACTGAACTCAGGACCTCTGGAAGAGCAGACAGTGCACTTCACCGCTGAGCCATCTCTCCAGCCCCAGGATTTCGTTTTAATGGATGTTTTATCCTTTGTTTTCAGTTCAATGATTAATTGTGGGAAGTATGGATCCCTTCTGTTTTTCTGCCTGCATTAGAGGAAAAGTGCTTTAAAAATGCAACTGATAAATAGGATTTAAAGTGCACAAACCAGCCTCTGCAGCCTCATTACATGTGATAAAAACATTCTTCTGGGCTGACTTGAATAATTTTAAAACCCCAAAGCCACCAGGCATAGTGACATATGCCTTTAATCCCACCATTGGGTGGATGAAGACAGGTGTATCTCTATGAATTCAAGGCCAGCCTAGTCTACATCATGAGACCCTGTCTTAACCACTCCTTCCCCAAAATTCCTAGAGCCAAAAAAAAAAAAAGGAAAGGAAAATGTTTAACATGTGGAATGGGGTTATAATTAAATACAAAATGGAACATCAGGAAAATTTTCCTTGATGGGAATTCATGGATAGCCAAGCTCAGTAGAGGAAAATAATCTACATAAATCTTATTTGTAGTAGATTCACACAGTAATTATCATGTATAAGTAATCTTGTGCTTGTTGCTTTTTCGAAATTGAAGTTTTCAGGACTAGGGTTATAGCTTAGCGAGAGAGTACATGCTTCTAGGTTCCACCCCTAGCACTGAAAATAATACATTTAATTTAATTATACTTAGTGAGTCAGAAGCATGGCTTTTCAAAAAGTTCTTGTTGTTTTAGAACTCAATGAGAGCAATTGTTGAACTATATGAAGACAAAAAAGAGGGTTACCCAGCTGTTAAAACTCTCGTGACTCTGGGTAAAGAAGACTTGTCCATTAAGGTAATAATCTTTTGTTTGCATTTTTACTTTAATCATCAGTTGATTTAATACTACGTATTTAATAGTATGAGAGGGAAGGAAAAGAACCTGGCATTTCTTGAATGTGTTATTTGTAAGTCATGTAGTCGTGCTTTCTCAGCAAGGAACTGACCATATATATAATGGCGGTCCCATAAGATGCTATTGCCTAGTGACATTATAGTCATCTTGTTCTATATAAGAAAACCTTCTATGATATTTGCATGATGACATTGACTAATGGCACATTTCTCAGAATGTGTCCCTGTTGTTTATGGAAACATGACCAAATTATGCTGGATTCTTGGCTTAAGTTACCTCACTGAATGTTCATGAGCAGGACATCAGTCTGAAGCCTATCAGATTTTGCTGCGCTTCTCTGTCTCCTTTGTTTATACTGTCCCCAGAGGAATCACTTTTCAGTGGGAGCTTAAAGCCCTTACTCACTTTAGAGCCTGCTAGCATGTACTTTATTTAATGAGCTCTCGTCACCTCCTTCTTAAGCACAGAAATGAACTCCCCTTTTATTTGTAACATTTTGTGCTTCGCAGATAAGTGACCTAGGTGGTGGAGTCCCACTTCGAAAAATAGACCGTCTTTTTAACTACATGTACTCAACTGCTCCCCGACCCAGTCTGGAGCCTACGAGAGCTGCTCCCTTGGTAAGCATGCAAACTGCTGCAGAAAGAAAGGTCTTTAACACAGGCATAGCAAGATGCCCATCTCCTCTGGTGGTTGTACTAGCCTTGCCTGAATGAGGATGTTTCTGGCATGGTGGTAGCAAGAGGCACCTTTCTGCTGTAGCTATTTAGTTGGTGAGGTCTTTAGACTGACAGTGCTTTTCTAATTTGCCTAAGAAACACTCCATGCTGAGTGTCTCACTCCCACATACAGTGTGGAAAGGCTTTTCTCTGTGGTAAGATGGCTGCTGGAGAGCCACTTCTGATCATGCACCACCCTCAGAGAGGTAGACATTACCCATGGGTGAGCACAGGGACTATGTAGAGTGTGTCGCTACAACTTAGTCGGAGGTACTTTAGTGCTGCCTATCTTGTAGGTCAAGTCTCAGAGCTTTGGGTCACCACTGACAAATTTGTTTATATAATTAAAATACTTAATTATGAAAACATCGAAATTTTTACGTTGAATAACACAAAACACACAGGTGATATTTTCAGAGGTCTCTGTAGCACTCTAGAAATAACCTTCAGCCTTATTCAGGCGGTGAGAAAAGCCTCTGGTTACCATGGTAGCATTTATTCCTGGTAGGGCCATACTTTCTTCCCCTGCTGAGTGTTTCTAATTGACAAACAACAATTGAACCCTTTGTCATTAAACACAGCAATGTATCTATCAGTCTGCAAAATGGCTCAGGGTATAAATTAAGTTTCACTTTAAAGTCCTACCTGACTGATAAGCACATAAGATTATATTTTATTTGTATGAATAAAAATCAAACACTTTGCATTGTTATGTGTGGCAGAGTTTGTTAACTCAGCATGTAGAAAACCAAGGAAGTTATTTATATAGGATTCAAGAAAATTCATAAAAGACCAATTTGGAATAGTATTACCTTGACCAGGGTCTGGTCCCAATTTTGCGTCTTCCTCACTTGTTTAAAAGAGAGTGTGGATTTTGTATTCCATGTCTTAAAACAGCACCCTGGGGGTAGCTCTTTGTGCCATGGATTGCTTTATGAAACAGTGGACTCCAAGAGACCATTATTTATACACCTTCCTATTTTATAGATGAGGGAAAGAGGGCCAAAGCAAAGTAACAGTAGAGCTGGTCCTGACCGTCTATAACATTCTGGTATACTGTTGTGGCTACTTCTGAAGAAATGCTTCTCTCAGTATCTCCCCCAGTTAATAAACTCTCCTCAACTTTAAAGTGAGAACATGGCTGTATACTAATAGAAAACAATTTCCTTTCCAAATGGCTTAAGAGTTTTACATATCTATTTCTTCCTTCATATATTTTTAATTGAACAGACTTTAAACTATTTTATGTGTATAAGTGTTTTGCTTGCATATGTGTATGTGTGTCTGCCACATGCATGCCTAGTACCAGTAGAGATGAGAAGAGGGCATTGGATCCTCTGGAACTAGACTTAGAGATGGTTGTGTCCACATGGTGCTGGGAGCTGAATCTGGGTCCTCTGCAAGACCAGCAAGTGTACTTAACTGCTGAGCCATCTCTCTGGTCCTAACATTAGATTTTTAAATTTGTGTGTGTGTGTGTGTGTGTGTGTGTGTGTGTGTGTGTGTGTGTGTGTGTGTGTGTGTGTAAGTCAGAGGACAGTTTTATAGAGTTGAATTCTGTCCTTTTACCTTTTTATTGGTTTAAGGGGTTGAACTCATGTTGTCAGAGTTGCACAGCAAGTGCTTTGACTTACTCAGCTGTGTCACCAGTTACAAGATCTATCTCTTCTGTGGTGGTTGTTTTGAGACAGAATTTGATGTCATCCAGGTGGACTGAGAGCTGCCTGAAGCTAGGGTGGCCTTGAACTCTTGATCTTCCTGCTTAGAGGATAGACCTGTGTGCCACCTCAGTTTGGGGGATTTTGGGGAAACCAAATCCAGAGCCTTTGGTGTGCCTCGCTGGCACCCTACCCACTGAATTATATAGCCCCAGCACATGAAATGATTTTAATACACCCATGTATTCATGTTTCCATTTTACTTAGATAAGTTTATAGGTGGTGCCTTTTTACATTACAAATGTTACTAGTCTATTTATGATGCTGGACAAGTGATGTCTGTGTGCACTGTGAGGTGTGGGGCCATCCTGCCTCTGCGTTTATCCAATTGAGCCAAATGATACTTTTCTATGACAAGGTACAGCCTGAAAGCCACTGTTTTATGCAGTATGAAACAACTTAGAGCATGGGACATCCTGATCTCCACGTATCTGAATTTCCATTTTGGGGAGTATCTACTATGCCTCTTAACTCCAAGGTCAAAGGATAACTCTGTGGGGTCAATTCTCTGCTTCTGTCTTTATGTGGATCCCAGATATTGAACTCGGGTCCTCAGGTTTGTCAGCAAAACTGAGCCATCTTACTATGTTTTACTGTGTGATAGATACCGCACAGAGACAGCATTTATTATATTATATAATCCTTATCAGCTCAGAGGCAAGCTTTTCGTTTCATGATGAGGAAAGTCTTAAAGAAGTTGAATGAACTGCACAGTCACACAGAAATGGAGATTTCAACTTAGATCGCAGAGTCAGAAGCCTGTGTGACCATGGCTCTCTTTCCTTAAGGTCCTATTCCAGATCCAGTTTTTATCCAGAGTGCTAAAGCTTACTGCATAGTATCTCCCTATGCCCACCCACAGGCAACCATGAAGCCACTGACTTCAGTATTAATTGTTCTTAGTGTTGTCTATCTGTGACCTTCTGTGTAAAAATAGATATTGGCTGTCAGTTTGATGACATTGAAATATAGGAAGGTATTAATTATTTAAATCTATAAATACCCATTCACTGTATCAACATACTACAGCTTTTCTAGATCCTTAAGAAGGAACCTCTCAGAAAATGTTTTCAGTGGTTTAGTCTTGCTGTGGGTAAATTTCAACTCTTGCCTGGCAAAGATATTGCACCCCTTTAATCCCACCACTCGGGACTCAGAAGAATGTGGATCTCTGTGAGTTTGAAGTCTATAGAATGAGTCCAGGACAACCAGGGTTACACAAAGAAACCCTGTCTCAAAAAAAAAAAAATTCAACTTCAGACAGCAGGGAAAATGATAATGAAACTTGGAAGTAAATGTGGTTTTGTGTTGTCATCAGATCAAATTCCACTTGGTTGGCTATTCATTTTTTAATCTAGTATTTTTATTCTTTAAAAATTTCATACAACATATTTAATATTTGATCATATTCAGTCACCACTCCTTCCCTCAGATTCACCCCGTATTCCCTACTGCTTCCACTTCCTATTTTATACCCTTTCTTTTTAAAGAAAGACATGGTCTTGCAACAGATCCCCCTGATCCTCTTAACAGTCTTTCTGCCTCCCTTTCCAAGGGGCTTCCTGGAGACTTAAGAATAGGAATTGTGTTAACAGGGTTATCAACTGAGGACAGGCACCCTAGTCCGTTCTTCTGTGCATTTTGACCAGTTGTAGCTTTCCATAATGGTCTGTCTGCTGCAGAAAGACAGAGAGAGAGAAGGTGAAAAATACCTGTATCTGAGGATATAACAAGTATTTTTAAAAGTCACCCTTGGAGCTCAGAGCATTGTTCAGTTGGTGAAGTCCTTGACTGATTTGCATGAAGCTCTGGGTTCCATCCCCAGCGCTGCATAAACCAGGCATGGTATTCCTTGCTTATAATCCCAATACTTAGGCATTGAAGGCAAGAAGATCAGGTGCTCAAGGTCAGCCTTAAGTACATAATGAATTTAAGACAAGCCTAGGATACATGAAACCCTATCTCCAAAAAAGTTACCCTGACTTTATGCTCGGACATAGCTAAAACTTTACTTTAAAATGTTAAAAAAAAAAAATTAATAAAAATGAGTTTTTTTTTTTTTTTTCTGTTACACAAACTCGACAAGTGTTTTTTTGGGTTTTTGTTTGTTTTGTTTTTTTTTTAGTAGGAATAGTGAATATTTGGTCATAGATTATTATAGATTAAGTCACTAATTCATTTGATTTAAGTTCCAATCAGGGATTCATTTTAATCTTCTATAAGTGGTCCCCTCTGAAGCATTTGTTCCAGTCTCACTCTATTAATTTCCTTTTCTTAATAGGCTGGCTTTGGGTATGGCTTGCCCATTTCTCGACTGTATGCCAGATATTTTCAGGGAGATCTAAAACTGTACTCCATGGAAGGAGTGGGTACCGACGCTGTCATTTATTTGAAGGTACTGTGTTTGTTTCCGCTAGTGTAAAGGCCTCAGCTTTGTAAAGCTCGTAGTACCCATAACCAGTTGAGAGGCAGACTGTATCATCTTACCTTGGGATCAGGTAGATGAAACTATGCTGTGCCTCACTATGAGTTTATGCCCAGACATAATAAAATAGGAAGCATGGGTGTATAAAACTTAAATTATTGATTTTACAACCATGGATCTAAATTGTAGTTTTTCAAAATTGCATGTCCATTGAAAAACCTGGTTTAAAAGGAGACAAATTTCCAATAATCTGAAGTCTTCTAGGCTTTTACTTTAATTTCTCAAGTTGTAAGAATTCAGTAATGATAATATGCTTATATAAAATGATCTGTAGATCTTATTATCAAGTGAGGTAACCCAGACTCAGACAGACACATACCAAATGTTTGCTCTCATGAACATCTTAGCTTTTAATGTGTGTACATATGTGGAAACAAACATCATGACAGGTCACAGAACTGTAAAGAAGTTCGTGAGAGAAATAAGATTTTGAGGATGGAGGGGGAGGATGATAGAACAGCACATAAAAACAGAAACTACTGGAGTTGAAAGTGTGTGCAAGGGACAGAGTTGGGCATGGAAGAGAAGAAGTAGAAGGGAGGAGAATCAGCAAAAACAAATGATATATTAAAATGCCTTAATGGGACCAGTTACATTGTACGTTCTTTTTTAAATCAACAAATCATGATAAGGGATATTTAAAATAAGCAGCACACAGCTTTAAGCCCAGCACTTGGAATGCAGAGCAGGCTAGCCTGGTCTGTTTAGAAAGTTCTAGGCCAGCCAGGGATACATAGTGAGATCCCTTCTTTCTCAGAAACCAGCAACAACAAAAACCTGTAATAGACTTCTGCATTTATTTAAAAATCTAATCCAAAAGTCATCTCAACAATTTAGTTTTCTTTCTTAATGTTGGAGTGTATCTTACAGAACTTTCTACATAGATTCATGAGAACTCGCTCATTCTTTTTAACTGAGGCATAGTTTATTACTAGAAATGATGTCACAGTTTCACTAGTTATTTGGATGGCAGTATATCCCAGTGATGTTTGCTTGATTTGGTGCTGGGGATGGAGCCCAGAGCCTCCTGCATGATAGTAGACATGCTCTGTGCCATTGACCTACATTTCCAGCCCATAAATGATGTGATGTTTAATAGCACTTGATGGTAAATGTTTATAAATCTGGTATGAATGAGACTTTTTTTCTTCTGAGGCTCTTTTAAGGAGGCAATTTCCTCTTGAACAAAAATGCTTGATCTTAAGACATTCTGTCAAAACAATATTGAATATCTCAAAGCAGTACTAACTGAATTACAATGCGTTTTGTTCCTGTCATTGTTTCAGTATTGATTTTGAGTGAGTGAGTGAGCAAATGATTTCACTCATTTACAAGGAGTTCGGGATCTTTTTCCCGGTCAGGCTAAATAAATCTGCAAAATAAATTTTAATATTTCAAAAACAAACATACGGTTACGGTTATTTAAAGGAGTAAGATCTATGTGAGAAAAATAGTGTCCTAGACCTTTGGTGTATGTGGTTTTTTTTTTTTTTTTTTGTAATAGGCCCTTTCAAGTGAATCTTTTGAGAGGCTGCCAGTTTTCAATAAGTCTGCATGGCGCCATTACAAGACCACTCCTGAAGCTGATGACTGGAGCAATCCCAGCAGTGAACCAAGGGATGCATCAAAATACAAGGCTAAACAGTAAGAAACCACTTTGATTTCCATTATGAAATATCTGATTTGTCTCCAGAAAGTACCAGGCAGACAATTGAACAATATTTTATGCCACACATTCGCTGTGGTTTTTATCACTGGAAAAGCAAAGTGATCCTTGGAGAAAGAAAGATTGGAGAAAGACTTTTATGCTGAGAAGGAGAACAAGAAGTGGGTACCTAGAATCATCATTTAAATGGAATTCCCTCTGTCCTGGGATTCCTTGCACTTTGGAGTGCATGGTGAACAGGGGCTCATTCTACTGTGAATGGTGTTTTGTTTTAAAACAGTTAAGTTTTCTGCTTGTTGTCAATATTAGAGACTGACAGAAAAATGTATAGAGAACTTTTGTGGGTTAAAACTGAAATAATTACACTAAAATTAATAAAAATGTAGTTAATTCACACACTGAAGCATTATTTAGTCTTTAAAAAGAATGAAATTTTGATGCATGCTTCAGTGTAGACGAATCTTGAAGTCATTATTGTACGTAGAACAGGCCATACTCAAAAGCACAAATAACGCGATTCCACTGTTATGAGATACCTAACCAATGATTTTTAGACAGTCAGAAGGTAAAAATGTGGATGCCAAGGCTTTGGGGGAAATAGAACGAGGAATTGTTAGTGAGTACAAATTTTCTGTTTGTGATGAGGAGAAAGTTCTTGGAATTGATAATGGTGATGCTTGTGCAACAGTATGAATATGCCGGTCACCAAGCTGTTCACTTAAATGTAGCTAATGATAAGTTCTATATAATGTGTAGTTGATTACAGTAAATTAACAATGAGAAGTTGTTAGTTGTAGAACATTTGTCATTATTTTGTTGGTAAGGAAAATGATGTAGTCTTTGGTTTCCAATTTTTCAGTTAAGAAGTATCTTTTCTTAATTTGTGTATTACAAAAAAAAAAAAAAAAAAAAAAAAAACCAAACAGCAGAAAACTCTAGGAAACATTAAATGAAAAAAGAAAGGGAAAACCAGATGGTGGTGGTGCACACCTATAATTTTGGCACTTAGGGGTCAGAGGCAGGTGGATTGCAGGGTTCAAGGTTACCCTGGTCTCCAGGACAGCCAGGGTTATACAGAGAAACTCTGTCTCAAAAGGCCAAAATAGATAGAAAGGAAGAGAGAGAGACAGAGAGAAGAAGGAAGGGAAGGAAGGAAGAAAGGAAATAATGAGAAAAAAGAAAAGAAAAGGAATTTTCCAAACTGGGATCCATTTCAGGACCATGTTGACATATATGGATAGTCTCAAGTTTTTCTTTTTTCTTTTAATTTGATTTTATTTATATATTTGTTTATTACAATTTATTCACTTTGTATCCCAGCTACAGCTCCCTCCCTCATCTCCTCCTAGTCCCACCCACCCTTCCTCTTCTCCCCCTATGCCCTTTCCCTGGCCCCCTGATAGGGGAGGTCCTCCTCCCCTTCAGTCTGACCCTAGCTTATCAGGTCTCATCAAGACTGGCTGCATCATCTTTCTCTGTGGCCTGGCAAGGCTGCACCCCCCAGGGGGAGATGATCAATTCAGCCACTGAGTTCATGTCAGACACAGCCCCTGTACCCCTTATTAGGAAACCCGCTTGGAAACTGAGCTGCCTGTGGGCCTCCTTTGAACAGGGAGTCTAGGTCCTCTCCATGCATGGTCCTTAGTTGGAGTATTGGTCTCTGCAAGCCCTCTGGGCCCAGGTATTTTGGCTCTGTTATTCTCCTTTTGCCCCTCCAGGTCTTTCTATCTTTCTCTTCTTCCATAAGGATTCCAGCATTCTGCCCAAAGTTTGGTTATGAGTCTCAGTATCTCCTTTGATACCCTGCTGGGTAGAGTCTTTCAGAGGTCCTCTGTGGAAGACTCCTGTCCTGTTCCCTGTCTTCTCCTACTTCGAGTGTCTATCCTGTTTGCCCTTCTGAATGAGGATTAAGCATCTTCCTTAGGGTCCTCCTTGTTTAGTTTCTTTAGGGCTATAGATTTTAGTATGTTCATCCTATACTATATGGCTAATATCCACTTATAAGTGAGTATATACCATGTGTGTCTTTCTGCTTCTGAGTTAACTCACTCAGGATGATCTTTTCTAGATCCCACCATTTGCCTGCAAATTTCATGATTTCTTTGTTTTTAATTGCTGAATAGTATTCCATTGTGTAAATGTACCACAATTTCTGTATCCATTCCTCCGTTGAGGAACATCTAGGTTGTTTCCAGATTCTGGCCATTACAAATAAAGCTGCTGTGAACATAGTTGAGCAAATGACCTTATTGAATGGTGGGACATTTTTTAGGTATATGCCTAGGAGTGGTATAGCTGGATCTTGAGGAAGCACTATTCTTAATTTTCTGAGAAAGCGCCAGATTGATTTCGAAAGTGGTTGTACCAGTTTACATTCCCACCAGCAATGGAGGAGGGTTCCCCTTTCTCCACAACCTCTCCAGCATGCGTTGTCACTTAATTTTTTGATCTTAGCCATTCTGATGGGTTTGAGGTGAAATCTCAGGCTCATTTTGATTGGCATTTCCCTAATAACTAGGGATGTTGAGCATTTCTTTATCAAGTTGTTTTTAATATAGAAAGTGTTGTGGGTTGGCTAGGTGATCCCACCAGGGAGAAGTGATCAAGGAGCAGGCCACTGAGTTCATGTCAGAAACTGTCACTTCTCATCTTACTAGGGAATCCACATGGAAACTGAGCTGTCTATGGGCTACATCAGAGCAGGGGTTCTAGGTTCTCTCTATGTGAAGAGGATCCCAGCTGTCCTGATGGGACCTAATAGGCTAGGGTCTGACAGTAGGGGAGGAGGACTCCCCCTATCAGTGGACTAGAGGAGCAAAAGGGAGGAAGAGTGGGACCTGGAGCTGATGAGAGAAGGGGCTACAACTAGGATACTAAGTGAATAAATTGTAAATAATAATAATAATAATAATAATAATAATAATAATAATAATAATAA